CCCCCCCCCCCCCCCCCCCCCCCCACTCACACACAAAGATGGAGCCTCTTCATAATTCAATATTCTTTTAGTAGGACAACAAGGCTAAAGAATACTATTGGAACATGCTTTGAAAGGAAACATGCCACTACAAAGACAAAGCCCTACCTCCATTGTGGCCAAGCCTTTGGTTACCATCTCAATCATCCGCGCTCTAATCTGAAAAATTACTACGATATAATCAACTGAACTCTCTTTTAACCTCATTCGAACAAAATTGAATAGTAAACTACCTCTTGATCAGACTTCTCATTTTCAAATTTAGGGTAGAATGTAGCTCGTATGTGAGCTTGTGCAAATGTGGACTTGTCTACCGTAAAATTTTCCAGCATATTGCCTCTAGAAGAAGCACTCTTTTTCTCATTTGATGGCTCGTTAGCCCCAGGAACATGGACTTCCGCTGGGGATTGAGTGGCTGGAGCATTTCCAACTTCAAACGTTTCTGATCCACTTACAGTCCCATAGGATTTTGGCTTCCACACAGCCTTTTGGTTTTGAGCTGGTATCTTATTCGTCAATCCAACACTAGAACTTGGCTTGTGTTGCCACCTTTGTTCCCTAGAGCCACCCTTTCTCTGCATTGAAAAAAACACAATCCAAATAAATCACCACCCTTTCCACATCCCATACTGACGGCGCCAGAGAATATATGATCGCACAAACCCGCCAAATAAACACACACAAACTAAAGGTACAGATTATGTGTCAATTAAGGTAAATATTAAATGCCTGTGTTAAATATAGTATGTATATATTTAATATTAATTGTGTAATCATTGTATACATGGTAGTTTACTTGTATAGGAATCTTTCCGTAGTTAGGATCTTCCTGTATTATATATACAAGGCTTAGCCCTCCGTTAATAACATAGAAAATAATAATTCTTCATGGTATCGGAGCCTTTGTTCCGCTCTCTCTCTTGTTCGACCAAACCCTAGCAGCGCCGCCTTCTCTCTCTCTCTCTCTCTCGGCCGAACGTCAGGAGCGCCGCTCTCACAGTCCGGCAGTCTCCCTCTCCTTCTCCTATCTCCTTTCACAGTCTGGCAGTCTCTCTCTCTCTATCGGCCGAACTTCAGGGCAGACTCACCACCATGTCTGAGAAAGCTCCGGTCACCAACACGGCATCATCATCTTCGACCCCTCACTTGGCGTTCACAACCATCTCCAACGTCAAGCTTCATGTGCCAATTCTTCTCAGTTTCTCCGAGCCGAATTACAAGAAGTGGAGTCGGCTTTTTCTCCTTCTCACCCGCCGGTTCTCCTTGGGTGATTTTCTCACCGGCAAGTCCTCACCGTCCAGCGCCGACGACAACGAATGGTACCAACTCGACGCTCTCATTCAAGGTTGGATCCTATCTACGGTGAATGATGAAGTTTGTGATCTCGTGCTCTCTACCACCAACTCAGCCTCGGAATTATGGAAGTCCATCTACAATCTATTCCATGACAACAAAGCGGCCCGGGCTATGCAACTTGAGCACCAATTCCGCACAACCACGAAAGGGTCTCTCTCCATGGCCGCCTATTGCCAAACCCTTCGCAACCTAGCGGATTGGTTGGATGATGTGGACGCTACCGTCTCCGAACAACAACTCGTTCTCCAAGTTCTCCGTGGTCTACCGGATGATCTTCGTGGCCAAACGTCCTTCCTTCAATATCAAACGCCGCCCCCCACTTTTCTTCAAACTCGGTCGGCCCTCCTTCTTATTGAAGGACAACGGGCTGACTTGGGTGGTGGCAGTCTCGGTGGAGACAGTGGCACGGCACTGTACGCCGGCAGTGGAGGCTCCAGCGGCGGTGATTCACGGCGCCATGGCAGCGCCGGTGGCGGACGGGCAGACTCCAGCGGCAGGGGCAGTTCTGGAAATTGTCTGCGGCAGGGGCAGCGTGGTGGACAGCAGCGGGGTCGTGGTCGTGGCCGAAGCTCCGGGTCGAATGCACGGCACACCTTCGGGCAGTTTCCTGGACAGTACGCCAACCCAAACCCTAACCCCGGCCTTCTCGGGCCTCGCCCTAACCCCACCCATATCCCCAGGCCTATTTTTCTACACCCTACCCACACGCCGGTGCCCCCTACCCGTACTCAAACCCCTACCCAACAGCCCCACCCTACCCGCCACCTTCACCCACACCATACACCCCCTCTGCCGGTGCCAACACCCTCACACCAACAGCCCTTGCCCATCATTTTGACACCCTAAGCCTTCGCGATCCGCAATGGTATATGGACACCGGCGCCACACATCACATAGCTTCGGACCCAGGTACTCTTTCTCATGTTCGTACTCAAGCTTTAAATTCATCATCATATATTACTGTCGATAATGGTTCTAAAGTTCGCACTACGGCAACTGGTAATTATCATTTTCCCACATCCCCTCCCCTCCACCTACAAAATATCCTTGTTTCTCCCCACATAATTCACAACCTTATCTCCGTTAGACAATTCACCCGTGACAATAATTGTTCTATTGAATTTGACTCCACTGGTTTTTCTGTGAAGGATATGCTGACGGGAACCGTGATTCATCGGTCCAGTAATAATGGCCCACTCTACCCTATGAGCCCAACAGCCGATCCTGTCCCAGCCCAGGCCCACGTTGCCACCGGAGATCCGGAGCTCTGGCATCGTCGTCTTGGCCACCCGAGCCTTGCCGTCCTCCGTGGGGCCCCTAGTCTTTCGTCTACTATCTCTTTTAAAAACTTGCAGCACTCTCTTTGTCATGCTTGTCAGTTGGGAAAACATACTCGTCTCCCGTTTGAGTCCTCGAGTCGTATTTCTACTTTTCCTTTCCAGCTTTTACATACTGATTTGTGGCAATCGCCTGTTACTAGTGTTACTGGTTTTAAACATTATATGTTACTCTTAGATGATTATTCTCATTTTTTATGGGTATTTCCTCTTCGAAGTAAATCTG